CTCCACTTCTTGTATTGTGCTCCTACAGCCTCCATTCTCCGTTTCCAGTACATGCCCTCCAAAACACTGCCCTAGATACCACCAAAAAATGCGAAACAAGTGTTGGCCAAGGCATATAGCTAACCAATACGCACTTCAATCTTCGCATGTGTGGCATCATCATCAGGCACCGCGAAGTAACAAAAAGGAGTTTTCTTTTTCGATTTTTTCGCAGGCATTCGAACTGAACAAAGTGAAAATTAATAGACAGGTAACAAGGAAACGGACTGCCACTTACATTCAATGTAGTAAGCTCTCCAAATAACGTTGTTCAAACGAATTCGTTGTTTCCAATGTAATCGAAGACCTTTGAAATCTTTCCATTTTGGTGTTGTCATCTTACTAAAAGATGGTAACGATTGTAGGGTTTATTATATGATTCTGGAAGAGCTAGAAAAGAGATGACTGACTTGTACGCCACTTTGATACACTTGTTGAGTTTGTTCAGAGAAACATCTATTGCAATCGACTGTGTCTTCTTTGGCCCGAATTTGTAGAAAGTAACGGGCTTCTCATACTATAAATTCCAGAAACCTTAGTGGCAATAATGTAAATTACCGCAACAGTTCGCGATGAAGTTTGCTAAGTTTGCTAAGGGTCAAATCATAACTTGTAGCTCAGCTTTAGCTCGAGTGTGGAACAGACGCGTACTGACTTTAGAACTGCAAACTCCAGGCGATCAATACGTATATGATCCACACACGAACTGCAAGTCAAGGTGCAAAGTATGATTGGAACCTAAGTCACTACTGGCAACACTCTCGGCCGCAGGCAAGAATCGAACTCGCACCTCTCGCCTTCCGCGCGGTTGTGCTACAAATTAGGATACCGAGACAGCATTTTATCTTGAACAAATTTTTGGGGTACATTTATCAAAGCTTAGCAGCGCTCAAACCTGATAAGCCGGCAAGGGCTGTGAACCACAAGGCTGAAGGCTGCAGCATATAAAATTTCCATTTGTTTTCGATTATTTGATCGATTCAAAAGTGATTAATTTTCTTCAATAAGTAAATCTTGAATAAGTGACTAGGTGGTCGGCTCACTACGTTATACGTGTTGACGCAGAGAAATTATGGCAATTTCCCATAAAAGTTGAGTAAAGTTGAAGCGGTGCGCCGGTGATGAAATCGGGAGCAACTGCTCGGAAAGACAAGAAGCGCGGGCTCAACTAGTCTGGGACAAAAAGTTCTGACCATAAGCCAGCATTCTTGTGATAATACCAGAAATCTTACCAAGGCTGCCCGTTCACCCTTGGCGGTACCTGTGCCAATGTCGTCAGGCTTTTCGTCATCTTCAACGACATCCACCTAAACAGTTCGAATGAAAGTAACAATTTGAAAGCACTGAACCACCTGCAAAGCAAAACTGCCTGTGGATGCGTGACATGTAAGTTTATTTACGAGTTCAAATTTGACTTGCCCGCACTATCTCGACCAATTTGGGAAACTATTTTTGCAGGAGTAACAAAACAGTGGAGGAAAGTGCACAGTACAGAAAAATTCTAGCGAACATTCTATGTGAGTTCTAATCACATAAATTGCCAAAAGGAGAAGTACCGTTTTGGAGGATGGCAACTAAATGCGGTTTAGAACGCTCTCAGATAGGCTTCATCTCGCACACGCGCATTTCGTAGTAAAATGCTCAATAGGCAACGGCGTTCGTTGGAAAGAACTAGCACCATTGTGGAGGGTGAGAGATTGATCGACTTGCGCGAATATTTCACAATCATTAATATGAAATCAAAGAAAATGTTTACATAGGTAATTTGGAAATGGTGGTCATTACTCAGAATGAAAGTAACAAAGTGAGCGCCAGCTTCTATTTACAAAATCTAATACTTTTTGAAAACTTGATTTGCTGGAACTCCCTACAGCGACTTTTATTATACCCGCCTTGACATCCGTGAGGCCTTGTGTCTGCGAGATCATCAGTGTTTTTTCCAATTCTCATCAACTTTCCCAGATAACCTAGCGCCAAGAAGCCGAAAACGAGTAAAAGGAAGACTTGTTCAGCATGAGTGGATCATTTCACGACTTGAGCCTTGGATCGCCCACGTGGAAGATGGTGCTAATTACCACTACACCTTTACCGTACGATGGGATAAAAAGGGTCGAATTCGAACTATTCAGCCGTACACTTGAACGGCAGGGAGATCGCTGAGCAATAGGTTAACATACCTGTTGCTATGCAAACAGGTTCAAAATACCCATACTTTTGGCTTCCGGCAAAAGTACTGACCGAAAACGATTTAGTAGCAGCTAAATAATACCGTCGTACAAAGAAGATCAGGACATTAGACCAATATAAAATAATCGATAACGTAGCAAGGGAAGACTTACTTCAACATCCTCGTCTTCGTCGTCTGGTTGCGGCTCAGTGTGTGGATTTGATGTCATGAAATGCCCACTATGTATGGGCTCCTGTGATTTTTCTGACATCTCTGGCCGATTAAACGCTATGAAGTGACCTGCCTGGAACTAAAGCAAACAGTTAGCAGTCAAAAATGATGAGGAAACATATATTCATGGTATAAAAGAAATGAGGAAGCACGTTGAAGAATCATCAACACATTTACTTACACTCTGTAATGTCTATTCAAACAGGAAGAAGTACAGGAATCAACTTCATAAACTAATGAAAAAAAGAGATCAGGTCCTTCTGAAGATACCCCGCATGCCTTAGAATTCTAACACACGGTGCGAAACTTTTTCATACGATTATAGGAGGGCATTTGGTGGATGTGCTCCGGATTTTAAGAGAAAAGAGACGTGAAACGAATTTATAAACTTACATAATTCTCCTCCCGTCTTACTATAGCTTATTAATTGTCAGTGTAATCATGGAAGTATTGTGACATCATTCTACCACTGCCCTGAATACTTGTTTTACAAGCTCCATAACCTTCCTTGCACTGAGCACATTTTCTTAAGAAATACGCGATCTCTTCTCAATATACCTTAAATGATGTGCACTATAAATCTTGACTGCTGGGTGCGCTTTAGCAAATTTTATTACATTTAATGCTTCATAGTACCTATGACTTCTACTTATTACAAGTGGAGAGAAAACGAAAACGACTCCAAACTCAAGACACATAACTTAAAATCACAGTCGCACGTACTCGACAGAAGCCGTCGAGGCGGCAAGGAGGCAGAGTCTGCGGATGAGTTGCAGTGCGTCCTGTATAGGTTTCCCGTCAAGTTGTAAGAACTACCACGGTACGCCCTACATCGCACAGCACGCGCTACGACTCGTCCGCTGTGCCTTCTTGCCGCGCGACACCGGTCTCCTGTGTGGTACCGCGCAAAAAAGCCAGCAAGAGTCGTGTGAATACGATTCTCTTCGGTCCCTGTGCGATGACCCTAATGGACACGCCATAGGTGTGGCACTCCTGAGTATAAAAACTGCTGCAAAAAGCGCTAGAGCCTCGCAGTTAGTTGCTGTAGCTGCAATGATTCCTGTCCACAACAGGCTGTCGCCTTGTCTGGCGCCCTCCCATCCCTTGCTTCTCTTGCCTCATCCACTCCTCTCCGTGCTCAACCTATCTTTTCTTTGGGTCGACGGACTACTTGAACTCGGCTTATTGAGCTGCCTCACTCGACGCTTTCGTCTGCGCTCTCTCGTGTTATCAGCGGTTCATGACCACTGACTCATACATTCTAACTTTTGCCAACCGAATTTTGGAGCTGAGCCAGGCACCGTTCTCTAGTGGTCGACGAACTACTTGAACTCAGTCCTTTAAACCACCCCTCCGCCCTCTCGTCGAGTCCCTCTTTTCTCCAAGGCGCTTAGTCCCAGGGTATTCGCCCATTCTCTAATCGTCTGCGCTCTCAAGGCGCAGTACCTATTGAGGAAAAAATCAAGTAGCCGTAAACCGGATACTGGACAGATTGATACTGGACATGTCTTTAACCGCCGACACGACGTGCTACAATTTAGCGGGAAGATATTCGTATATTCACCGCTGCTAAGCACCAAAGTACTCATTTCTAAATAACTCGATCAGCGTAAAACACAATTGAGGCTTAGACAAAAGATAACGCTTTAACGAAATAGCAAAGCAAATGTGTGAATTTCTGAAGTTGACAAAACGACGACTATTCGTCTGAGAAATGTGTATAAAGAACAATTTGGCGCTATGGCACTGTCAGCAGGAGTGAGATGGTCAGTATTATTTTTTTTTCGCTGAATTATCTCCTAAGGGATAACGAGGGTCCTGATTAACGATTGAGATCACATTTATTGGCGTTCCACTGCCAAATTGGACGCAATTTAGCGCAGATGGCGCACGACTGAGTCTCACCAAATTCGCTGTAAACTTGGCATATAGAGGTTACTTTGGGATTCTGACTACGAATGTGATGTTCGTCTTCGTCGTTGGCGCCATCCACTGATTGGATGGCAATCAGGACTAAGCCTTTGGAGAGTGGAGGGCTCCAAAGCGAAGTAAGCCACCTTTCCTGTAACCTTACACAGTTCACCTTTTGGCGCACAGTGCTTGGCTTACGCACTACGATGCAACCACTCCCTTCCCTAGGCTTAGTAGTAGGCGCTTGAGTGAGAGAGTCCAAAAGAACAGAAATGTGCTTAAAACAGCGCAAGCGAGAAAAACCTAATGTCATATTCGTAATCAGGGCCTCAAATAACCCCTATATACAAGTTTACAGCGAATTTGGTGAGATTCAGTCAGGGCGCCACTGGCGCCAATTTGGCGCCAGCGCCAAAAATGGATCTCATATTCGTGATCAGGACCCTCGATAACCCCCATAGCAGAAGTTTCAGCGAAAATTATTTTTTGACCCATCTCACCCCTACTGGGGTTGTAATAGTGCAATAGTGCCGACCAACTTTCGCAATTTTCTTTTTGAGACCTTCGCCTTCTTCTTAATTATTTTCTTCCTTAGTTGTTCTATTATCATGAGTTAGCAAGCTTGGTAGTCATTGCAGAGTCCACTGTTCTATAACAATGTAAAATAGAAAAACATAACACGTACGTCAACAGCAGCGACATGAACCCCTTCATGATTACAACATGTCCAACCAGAAAGCATGAAGTAAAAATATGGCGACTAAGGAGTCGAACGGAAAAGAAAACGTGCGAATGTCACGGCAACTGTATGATCAATAACTTGGAAATTCTTCGCCAAGCGTTATCACGCTACCGATTTCCAAACAAAAAGGGAGCCCAAACGACGCCGTAGGTCGAAGTCTACACTGAATGCTGCACAACATATATGAAACAGATGCCACGTTGCCGAACACTTATAATGTGGACCTTCACTCCCAGCTGATGTGTGACTAAAAATTAACCAAGAGCGTGAAGCATGTTGCCACAACAATATTTACTATCAGCTTGCAAAATATACTTCCTTCTCGTTTCAGCTTAGGGGAAAGGTCAACTTTGTAGGTTTCCAACAAAGTTGCCCACACAACTCTCCCGTGGTCAAAGAGTAAGACGGTGGAGTGGAATTTAAACACTAAAAGGAAGGCAGAAGCAGGAACACGTATATCTAATACGAGGCCAACACGTCCATTGAGGAAGTGGAACGCGTTTTTTAAAATAAGAGGCTGATGTGACACAGTGGGTTTCGTTAGAATCATAGCAGCGAGAGCGTAACACTGGCGTATGCAATTCATCACGTGGTCGCTGAACCCCTGTCAACGACAGAAGTGAGATGATCTGTTCGCTGACACTCTTATACGCGCATCACATGTGACTGCTTGCACATGGTATGTGAGAATCACAAATGTCGTAACTAAACTTGAGCAACACCAAGTACAGCAAAAGTAATGGGTAATCCCATCGGGAGCACGACCGCACAGGTTTTGAAAAAAAAAACGCTCATCAATATGTTTTACTTGCTCAACGATGACAAACTACACCAGGCTGAAATCGAGAAATCACAATATCACAATGCTAGTTTCCTAACACATTTGTATCAAGTATCTAAAAATTTTGCACTAGATCATAACATCTCAAAAATCGTCGACAGTATCCAGCTTAATCTTTTCTCCTGGTTTGAATGGCGGCATTCCCAAATATGGGCATGTTGCACAACGGAACGCATCACCTAGTGCACACTGAAAATAAATTTCTATGAATAGTAACTGGAAACATTTTTGAAAGCCATTTGCGGCTCGGGGCGAACTGGGACCGCATTCTTAGGAAAAAACACAAAATGGAACAGGCCTTGAGTCTCATTTTGCAACTCTAGATAGCCGTCCCAGTTAGCGTCCATTTCGCAAGAAAAAAGACGACCAACTTACATTACCGCAACCTTTGCTGCGAGGTTGAGCCATCTTCTCAGTCTCCTCCTGTTCCGCCAACCCACATGTGCAATTCTTACAAGCACGTCTTTTCTTTCCTTCAGCTGCTTCACCGCAGCTTGCTGAAAAATTACAGATTGCTGTGCACTCCAGCAATAGTTAGCTGGTAACTTATGGACCGACTTGCTATTCATGACCGTTTTTCAAAACCCAGCTGAAAGCTTGTAGACCCACTTTTGATAGTAACAACGCAGTTACAAAGTATAAATTCTTGAAGTTAAGGTGTTGATTAGTCGCTGCGATTACGACTGACCACACTCTCTTTGAAATGGCAATCCTTATCCTAATCCTAGAGAACTAGGCAAAGAACAAAACCCCCAGCGTGTCAGAATTTACCTGCGACGAAATCTAAAAAGGTGAAAAGCGGTAAGTCTAATCATGAAAAACGGTTCTGATTCACAGACTCATCGAGTGTTAAGGAAAAAATGCAGGCCACTAGACTTGCATAACCATACCGGTAAATTAATTTTATCGAAGCAGACCACTCCGATTTATCAGCAGGGATTGACTACAGAAGACCTAGGTAAAATTATCGCGATGGAATGATCTATGGCCTTTTCAATGCATCACGAACTCAATTCAAAAACGTAGATAAATTGAAATATGAGTGCGTCGAGCATTCCTATGAATTCCCTACTGAAGCGGATTGATTCCAAGGGAAATGCTTTGATCAAATAGACAACTCTGTACCTGGAAAAACAAGAACAAATGGAATGCACGCTTGATCAAGGCTGAGCTAAATCATGTACATGCGAACTCATCACTCCGTAAATAATGTAACCAAAAAAAAACTAGGAGGATAAAGCATTTGCCGTTGATCAATCCCTTTTTGGGATGCGGCACGCATTTGTACATTCGTAGTGGCGTTTGAATGCGATGTGGCCTATACAATGACTTGCGGGGGCCAGCCGATGTACAAGTCAGTGTTTTTATCCTCCCAGACAAGTTAACCGACCCCGGAGGGATGGAAGGCTTGGTTGGCCCGGGCGACTCACGACCCAGGATTTGATCCCCGGACCGCTCGCGTGGTAAGCGTGCCACTTGCCACTACACCACTTCCGCCCACTTCTCCATTACTGACTGAAATCTTAAGCTCATCGTCAGATTCTAATCATCGCTACGTGAACTTCCTAAGAAAGTTATGGGCCTTCAAAGTTGGCAAAAAACTTTTGGATGAGCTTACCTGGTGGAATCACAGTCGCCGTGGCTCTGCGCCAAAAACGAGTCTCATATTCGTAATCAGGGCACCCATTTACCCTTATAGAACAAGTTCCAGGCAAAAAGCAACCGTGTTTCCACATAGGTTGCACCTCATCATTAGCGTTCTTTTGCAACTTTTAAGGCTCACAACTTTCTTACAAAGTTCACGTAGCAGTTTTAGTGTCCATATTTGTAATCAGCGTCCAAGACTCTATCGATGTACCTAGGTCTTTCAATCTTTCATAGAAAGTTCAAAACATTCCGTGCTACGCACCTTTAAGATCGTCCCCGACTGGCTTCGCAAAGTCCTCTGGTTCGAGAAGTTCATTTTCGTCTACAATATCATCGTCGTCCACAGCTAACTTCTTTGCCTTAAAAATTTCGTTCAGAAACCAGTTTTCACTGTAGAAGAAATAAAGTGGCGTAACACACAGTAGGAATATTAAGTGCCACACTTTCACCATCGAACGAAGGCTTTGTTCCAGTAACCACTGCACCTGAACGAATTTTGCGTCTCAGAAAGTATTTCCAAAACAAATAAGTAAAGACAAAAGAAATTACAGTCCCCACCATCTTGAACGGATGCGCCTTCCTCAGTGACAAAGCCGGATGCACGAACTCTTCTTCCGATTATTTGTGCAGGAATCCCTAAAAAAAAACTGAGAATACGGAAAATACTTGTGTATGTAATTCCAAAAGAAGATACCTGACGCATGAACGGCCACAGTCCCGCCAACTTTTACGGCTTTGTATGCAACAGCACAAAAAGTCTTAAGAACTGCTTCAGACTGAACATATATGGCAACAAAATCATAAAAACCAGTCTTCTCCATTTCTAAACAAAAAATATTGAAGTCAAAATGGCAAGCACAAGTACTTCTACAATCAATCACAAGACCCACTTTCAATATCGATAAAGGCAACTACGTCAACGGTACCAGTGTGGGAATGAGAAGGTCCACCATTTGTTAGTGAATCTGAAAGCAGACGATAACCGCCTGAGAAGTGGGGAAGTGAGGAACGGAATTGAAGAATTTTGATCGAAAAAACGATTTATGAAAAGAAATTTATCGCACCGTTTTCCGTCAAAACAAGGACGGCTGCAGTAGCTGGTAATCCATCGGGAAGCACGACCATCTTGATCTGCACATGAAAAGGACTTTAACGTCAGCTTGAAAAAACAATTGGTAAGATATTCGGTAACACGAGGTAGAACCAGTAGAATAATACCGATACCACAGAAACGTATTTATTTAACGAAAACGATAACAACAAGAACCAATGTAGAAGGTAGACCGTCCCACAAAAAAACTGTACAATTCGATAAAATCTATAAACCGTACAACAATGAGAATTTATCTTCAAGTCTTGCATCGATTAGTAGCCGTTTGACGTTACCCATAGGAGTCCCAGAAGGATTCGGAGCAATTTCAGCGAATTCAGTGAACCTTCGATCATCGACTGAACGCAGCATCTCTAAAATAGAGAAAATATTTAATCCTCCCACAAACTTTGGAGATTCCAGCAGTGAGAGCAGTCGTGATGTACTTCATAACAGCGACATATGTATTGCTTCTGTCATGTGACCAGGGTCACTAAGGGCATGGATGTGAGGCGCGCCAAGGTAGGACGCGAGGTGTGCAGAAGATTAGAGGCTCGGTTGAGCTACCATACGTACATACCAGTTATAATAGTGATCAGGAAATACAACACTCCAATACCACAATGCATGCGGGCAAGCTGTGCGTGCCTACCAGAGGTCGATCTTGGTAATATTATCTTTACCATAACTCTATAAACTTTCTCCTGGGTACTCGGATGACACATGCTTTCTGGTTTGTTTATCAACGGCACCTAGCCAGCGATAAATTCACTATATATTCGACAAGGAATCGCCATAGAGAACGGATGGATCTTTTCAACCCTGCGAATTGCTTCACAAGGGAAACAATATCATTGCTGATTTTAGCACTAGGAAACACTTTTATAAACGTCTCCCACTTCCAGTTGGTCACATAGTACAAATAGAGAGCGGGGCGGAGCTTGAAGCGACATTTTCCACCGTTACCGTACGCATGGTCTTAGGAACGAACTGCGCTTGAATCGCCCAGCATCACTATAACTTTCAATTCCTTCAATGCTTTACAAAGGTATCAAATTGCCTGAGTTTAGAAGTTGGCAAGACCGAACATTCACTACTGCACATGCCGAATGTGCCTCACAGGCCTTGTGATTCTGATTTGTCCTTCATATAACATGGGAAAGGTAGTGAAGAATTACACTGTTTGGAAGCAAAGCATTTTTTTCGATACTACTAGGATAATTTTGAAGGACCGAAATCACAAAAATTTGAGCTTTGAATTAGTAAGTATCCCAGTTTCCCTTTCAGAATCTACTTGAGGAATGTAAAGGCTACCCCTATCGTCACGACTATAGAAGAAATACGTACCCCACGAGTAAGACCTATTGGGGGTGAGACACTTGTCTCACTCCCTATAGGTCTTACTCGCGCTCGGAAGTGTCGAAAGCGCTCAATTTATGGGAGTCGCGTGATTGAATTATTAGCGGATTCCTATGGGAGCGAACGATTCACATGAAAAATTTGAAAGGAACTATGCAATTATTGTGATCAGCACTATAAATTGCAATGCAAGACTCTATTTTTTTTTCGCCAAAAGCCTCTCCAAACTTGCCTAGAGTCACTAACAAGAATGTTCTTCATTGCCAATATCGGCCTTTATCTCCTCGTTAGTGTACGCCATTTCTGCCATCCATGCGTAGGCATGGAGGGCAGAAATAGCAACTACTGACTCATGCTGGGCTTCTCACTCAGCTTTCATAAGTGTTGGATAACTAAATAAAAAATTGCTGAGGGCATAATTAGACTAGAGGAATTTCCTGCAGTTGAAAACGGCGAATTTTCGCACCTACCAATTACATATAATATGAACTCCCCTATTTCAGCTAAATGCGAACACGCATGCGACATGAAGTATACTCAAAAAATCCTTTCCACCAACTGCATGAAGATATTACCTGAATGTCTCAACGAAATTTTCTTCCATGTCCATGACTTGACATTTTTCCAGAACTCTTCACACGCCGACGTTTCTCCCTCAACTAGGATCACGGCAGGCTTGCCAGGTGTGAAGAAACCGCACAGATGGAGTTCCTTCGCTAACTGCATTATGTTGGACCTCTAGAAATTTGTTCGAAAATTAGTGAGAAATATATGTATGGAATGGACAATAGGTTATTTCTGAAAATCGATTACCTTGATTGGAGAGCGGAGATGGTGTGACAATATGTAGTATCGTGCAAACTCTTTTGAGAAATTATCCTCACAAGATTCGGTTAGCCCATCTGAAAACCGCGACGACACAAATTAACAAACAGAGTGGGCCACCTGAGAAGCAAGAAGAACCACCGCGTGAGCTTAATCATTTGATCGGCCTACAAGAAGAGCGTGGAAATACGCACTCGGACCTCTGCCCAAAAGTGCTGACTTTCATGCACAATTTCGCTTTTGGCAGTTGGATAAAGTCACCGTAGACAGGTGTTAGACTTGGCGAGCGACAGCAAGGAGCCGCATGCCACTCGCGCCGCATCACAGGCGCGGTGCGCTGAGCGAGCGCGGCCGATTCCGAATTTTTGCGAAGGCATAATACAAGTGCGTTTCATTGGTATACGTCCACCCCTGATTTTACCGAAAACACGTTTCTTGAAGGACTGGCCCAATTTAGCAGCATACATTATCGGATTCGTTGTCCAGGAAAACTACGGAACACATGTTTTCAGACAGTGCCTGTCGATTTTGTCTGGTGGTTTGCCGATGCCTGAGTCCGCCATCATGGAGAGCCCGAAATCGAGTCTTTTCCTCTACAGAAAGACGGAGACCACGGGCATCGCGAGAAGACTAGTCGGTTCTACATCTGGTACAAACACGCACTTCGGTTGGATCAGGAAAATTTATTTCGAGAAGTATACTAAGAGTGGACGTATATTATGAAACGGTCGAAAATCGAAGAAGTACTTCTAAAAAATTTCCCCGTAATCTTACTTCTTTGAGAACGTGCTTTTCGTAGTTTTCTAACACAGTGAATCCGATAATGTATGCTGCTAAATTGGGCAAAGTCTTCAAGAAACGTTTTTGGTAAAATCAGGGGTGGACGTATACCAATGAAACGCACTGTATTTAATCAATAGACTAGACCACCAAGTGAAACGTGCAAAACGCGCAGACTACGCAATGTCAGCTTCATGATCAGTATTCGGTTTGTTGCGCGACGTTATCGATTTAGGCTGCTTCGGTGAAACTCCAGTTCGGGGGGGGGCACTCCATTGCTATCTTATCCGTAGTACTAGAGAGCAGTTCTTTGGGCTATCGAACACTACGGATAAGATAATAAGTGAACGACTCATTTCGCGTACTTTTGATAAGGACCGGTGGATGTCCTACATTCCACACTACCTGCCCACATCCCATCCACTTTTCTGCACAGGTGATCCACCCTGGAGCTCCTGCACCCTTAGCCCTTTGCGGAGGTGTCCTTTCTCCTGGTCCAGGACCGTTCCCTTGGGTCATGGCAGGCGGAAATGTGAAAACGTTTCAGGGTTTCTCACCCATTACACCAATATTTATCAGAAGTCTACTTTAAATGAGTCGATTACGTGTCGTGAGCCCTCTAATCCTTATCTTGAGTATTGGAGAAAAAATGGAGTGCCCCCCCCCGAACTGGAGTTTCACCGGCTGTTCTTCTTGCGGAGGTAGTCCAAGTGTTATGTTTTAATTCTGGAGCGATGGATGTGGTTTATTATATGGTTTTTGACCATTTCTGACGACACCGAGATATTTGCTTAATATTCTCTAGGCTGGTGCCTAGAGTCGATGCCACTTGCCTTTTGCAATCCGCACACGCTTCTTCGCCTAAAATCGCATACGCTAGTTTGAAAATTCCGAACACTTATTGTGAACAAGTGGTATAATGAGTAGTCGTCAGTCAACCATCACCATCAAGCAGAAATAGCAGGATTGAATAGCAACTTGCAGTATTGATTGGGGCACTTTCGATTTCTGCAAACCGTCGGCGGAATAGACTTCAGTGAGACGAGTCGCCCTAAACGGAGAATCGCGAATACCTTACACTCTGCAATCCAGGTGACAAGCATCCTTATACCCTCGAGTCTCTCAACACACACGCAAGGTCTTGACATATACCATACAATGTGTTTGATTGTTGAGACCAGACGTCATAGTCGGCGACGACTCAAGCGATGACGATCGCGATCGCTCCATCGCTTGTCCGTCGCTTGCTCTCGTCGGACGATTGGCACGCGATTGCGCAATCGCTGGCAAAGTGCACAAGCGACGGCCGATGGCTCTGCTCGATCGATACCGCAGCCGACTCTACATCGACTGGGGCGGGGCCAATCGCCCGTCGCTTGTGCACTTATTGCTTGCGCTTGGTCCGTCGCCGACTATGACGTCGTCTGAGAGACAGATTATTTAGCACACCAGACGTTTTTATCCGGACAAACGAAACTGGGTCCGATTGCAGGGGGAGATGGGGAGAAGCCATTTTGCAGAATGGGAGCACGTCAAGGGCACCCATGTGTACTATCGAAATGAATACTTCATCTGTGGTAGTGAAAACCAACACGATGTAAATAAAAACGAACCAGACATGTCGCCTTGAGTAGTCCGATATTTGGCATTATTTTCGATTACCCAAGAAATAATCTCCGCAACAAGAGGAAGACCAAGTTGCTGTTGATGAATCCAATCTCGAAGGTCGCTGTTTATTCTGAACACCTGAAAGATATGATGAAGTGGAAGTTAGAGCTCTGCTATGGCTTTATACACATACCGGTCGTAATTGAATGCTCCGTGTCCTCTAATGAAAACTGTTGGAAAGTTCTTGTAAGGATAGTCTTTCGGCACGCGAAATTCTATTTCGATCACTTCGACGTCGACAACCTAATAACTCAAGTGTAGCAATGTATAGATACAACCATAGGCAAAGCAGGCTGAAGACACTTAATTCAAGGGAAAAATAAACCATTACGACTAAAAAGTTACTCACTACTTGTACTGTGAAACTAGAAGGTTGAACCGCTTCATGATCCGACGGTGAGCGTCCAAAAGTCAATTCACCTTCTGAATACATTGACTGCAGCAGCTCCACTTCTTCCGCTTGTGCAATGGCGCATATATCTTCCATGTCAAATAAAGTTCTGAAGATGTTACCGTTGAGACGAGCTCACGAGCATCTGTAACATTTTGATGTGTCATAACCATAAAACTAATTCTCTAACATTTTGCGACTCCTTTCAAACTTCTTCCATCTTTTTATGAGTCCGCTTTGCAAACTTTAGATCGCGATCATAGCTTGCGATTTTTTTCCCAGGAGGATTGGGCGATCTTGCGACCGCACAGTCCTCCTAACGATAAGCCGCAAAACCATACGGGATAGTGCAATCAGTTCAACATGCACCACTCCAATTGTTAATCAACCGCCGACTGTGAGCAAGGATGTTTCACGTCTACACAGTAGAAGGCGTCATGTGCTGGAAAGCCAGCCTTTCACACAAAAAATCGTTCAGAAGTCAGTGATTCAGCTCCAAATTTATTTTCAGAAATCTTGCACTTTTGAATAACTCGCTTGTTGTGAAAACTCTCGAAGCTCTTAAAAATCTTACTTTGATACATGCATCTAGTTTTAGGTGCCGGACTTGGTCTACGAATGGAGTGAACGCACCTGACAACGAGCGCACATTCAAATGCGGTCGTCCGGTCGTAACGATCACACAGCATTAGGTACGTATCGGTCATCCAATTTTCCGACACATCCGACGATCGTACGTATCTAATGCTGTGCTATCGTTACAATCGGAACAATCGGGCGACCGACTGTGAATGTGCCCTGCCAGAGGCTGTCTTTCTCGCCTTTTCCTGATTTACAATTTTTAGTTATTTCTTGGAACAAACATAACAAAAAATTTCGACAGTGTTCATTAAAGAAATGAAGGGTGTACTCCAATAGAAGGAAGGGCATTTGGTACAACAGTTCATGCCGCCCACAATAATCTCTCTTGCAGAAAAGGGAAGCTTCAGGCGACCGTTAAGGCTGGTGCCAGAGTCCGCGATCCGTCGCAGCTTTCGCGAGATTCGCGCGATCGCGCGACGGATCGCAAAAATTGCAAGTGCCCCATTTGAACATTTGAAACACTGAATATGAAACAAGTAGAATCATGAACAGTCGTCATTCAGCCATCACCATCAAGCAGAAATGGCGGCGGGATTGGAGAGCACCTTGCAGTATTGATCGGGCACTTGTGATTTCTGTGACCCGTCGCGCGAACCCTGCGACGGATCGCGGACTCTGACAAGAGCTTTAAAGCGAAGCATAGTAATTCACACACCTGAAATTCCAGGCCGTGTAAAGATTGGAATTACTATGGACGGCACCACTTAACGCATCAATGCATCACACGCCTTCGCAGTCTCACACACTCGAGCTTTTGCCACAATCCGCTCACAACCCAGAATCCTTCCCCCTCAAAGCTTGGTTTCAAGGTTCTCCTCCCTCTTTGGATTTGGAGCCGACGAGACATCGCCGTCGTCTTATCGCCCACGCTCGAGTTGTTTGCGGCAGAGAACATCACGGAAAGTTCAGGTAATCACGTAACTACCTCGCCGCTCCCAGAACTTCAATTGATATCCCGTTGTTACCTATCACAATCAAAAGGAGAACTTGAATTTAAATTACATCAAGGACCCACAAGATGTTGCAGAAAAGCCTACAGCCTGCCTCTACTACTTGATACTTCGCGCCGGCTAGAACGAGCAAAAAAACGTGTTTTGTGCAGCCAGCAGAACCAGAATGCGTTCCAAACATCGCTTGCAAACATCACATGGACAAACAATGGTGGAACTGACACTTGTACATGAATATGACCAGTACAAACCAACAAGGTGTATGAATCTTGCCGTTTTGCTAATAAAGGTTGTTGTCTTTCTACCATAACTATTTAAATAAAGTAGCAAATATCACTGGATGGTAGAAAGCTCATATAATTCAAACGTTCTACGAGCTGAACTATTGGGCGGTCTTCTTGGCATCCCAGGACGTCAAATAAAAGCGTAACCAGTACGAAAAGCACCAAGCTTCATTGGTCACTCTTTAACCTATTAAAACTTGACCTTTGATCTCCGATTTTCTATGAAAAAGGTTACGCTTGTTAATGACACGAGGAAAAGAACAAAACAACGAAAAGAAGCAGCATCAAAATTGTGTGCACGGCAACCGAAGTGTAGAGCCGAAGGTGTAGCGGGTAAGTGGTGTGACTACGGACGCGCGGCTGCTACCGTAATGCCACGCTTAATTTTTTTTTCGTGCTATAATTTGTTGGAACAGCCTTGGGGGCGCATTCATATTCGGCCGTCCGATCGTAAGGCCGATGTCTGACTTCGCGAATCCAGCGATTCGCTACTAGCGATTCCAAAGTCTGACATCGGTCTAGGGCCGCACGCATAGTCGGTCGTCCGACAGCAACGATCGCAAGTGTCGCACAGCATTAGGGTGCGTATCGATCGTCAGAAGTGCGACACTTACGATCGTTGCTGTCGGACGACGACGATCGGACGACCGACTATGCGCGCGGCCTAACCATCGCATAAGTCGCGGTAGCATGAGGCTGTTTCAGACTTTGCGAATCCAGCGAATCGCGAGGTACGAGCGTCGCACCAGCGGATCGAACCGTGTACCTTCCCTTTCAGACAACAGGAAGAGCTAAGTAGTCTGTGCATGTGTATGTGTGTGTACGTGTGTTTGTCACGAAATTCATAGCTCGTTTACCAAAAAAGTTACTACTATGGACTACTACTAACCAGTTTTACTTGAAGGTCGTCGTCACTTGTGGTGTGTGGTCTGCACGTTACGCTCTTCTCGTATTGAAAGGGAGTATACCAGCACTCGGCACTGTTCAGAAATGGCGGGACTGCTTCTCTAATACGCTGAACGTCGCCACTCCCGAGCTCTCATGCCCTCGTGAGCCGGGAAGGTGGCGAGAGGCAACGTCCAAAGGGAGTCCCACAGGTGCAATATAAGTGGGATGGGCACGCCAAATTCTTTGAATACGGCAGGAGCGATATGCATGTAAGTGGGGACTGCTGTCAGCTACTATGACATGACGAGACGCTGTGAAGTAACTCACACATTCCAGCTTTTCACGCATGTCAAGTGACTACCCTCACCCCCCCCCCCCACCCCCTCGATTGGCTACAGTCTTTGTGGCTCGCGAATTCCCCCCACTTCTCGTGACATTATATGGCGGACAAGTGCCCAATTACACACACCTATCCGTATTCAGAAAATACAGTGTGCCCATCCCACTTGGGTAGCGCCGTCTCGCCATTCCAGACAGTGTCGACTCGCTGGTATATCGTTTGAACCATCGGTACACAGTTCGATTAGCTTGTGCAACGCTCGTACCCCGCGAATCGCTCGATTCGCAGAGTCACGGCCTACGGGCGACGCAGTGATCCAATGCAATTCAAGGCAGCACGTGACTGCCGTCACGGTGTTTAGTAAGCCCGATTGGGTGCTAACTTAGTTTGGGCGGATCACCTGGGGCCGGGTGCAGCAAGCCCCTCGTACGAGGGGAGGGTACCTCTCCCCCGTACGAGGTGATATATCCCGACGAGGGGATGCGTCCCCTCACTCGAGAAAGCGCTCAAAGGTTTCGTCGCAGGACCCATCATTTTTCGATGGGTCCCATGACGCGACCATGCGAAACGGTCACTGCCGTCACTTCTCCGCGTCGCCAAGTGAGGGGACGAATCCCCCTAGTCTCGACTAGGGGGATGTATCCCCTGCCGCAGGGACGCAGAGGGTTGACGGCAGTGACCGTCCCGCATGGTCGCGTCATAGGACCCATCGAAAAATGATGGGTCCTGTGACGAAACCCTTGAGCGCTCTCTCGAGTGAGGGGACGCATCCCCGTACGAGGGGATGACTGGGGGACTCATACGGGGATTTGTATCCCCCCGTACGAAGCCGGGAGGGGACCCCTCCCGTCGTACGGGGGATATATTACGAGGAGAGAGGTACCCCTCCCCTCGTACGAGGGGCTTGCTGCACCCGCCCCCAGAAGGGTCTTAAAGCACCGAATGTTCAATGGCAGGTGCCACAGCGAACCCTCTCTCCCCTCCCAGGGTGAGGGGAACAGCTTCGAGCGAGAATGACGCGTCTCCCAGGTCCCTTTCCGGTGCTAACTTAGTTGGGGGGGGGCACGCGGCGGCGTTGGCAGTCTGGCCTCACCTGGGGCCGTATGCTGAATGTTGGGTAGGGGCTGGGGTCCCCGACCCGCGATGCTGAATGTTGGGGCTCCCAGCAGAGTTTCGTCGCGGGACCAGGCGGCCACTGACCGGTCCTTTGATTTTACGATTACCTTTTCACCTTTTTCCCTGTTTTATATTGTAAATTTGTCCACGTATATACAGCTATATTGTTGTAATTGCGTTAGTATATCCTTTGATTCATTTATATGCTGGATCGTTCGTGTACGTCTAGCTATATTGCCATAATCTTGCCAGTCTGTCAATTCACTACTTTAGACTGAAGTTTGGTTCGCGTCTTCTATTACTTCGTGCCATATTGGTGTATTACTTCAATATGGCAATGTGTGCGTGGACGAATCTGTAATCTAGAACAGTGAAAAGACAAAAACTTCATCACAGAATTAAAGGACTGGCCAGTCACCTGTAGGTCCCGCGACGAAACTCTGCTGGGAGCCCCAACATTCAGCATCGCGGGTCGGGGACCCCAGCCCCTACCCAACATTCAGCATACGGCCCCTGGGAGTTTCTCGAGCAGAGACAACGTAGCACTCCA